TTTTCAGCATTCTGTTGGTGGGAGGAGATACTATGCATTGTTCCTGATTTAAGGGAAAAAATATTCAGTCTTTCACCATTAAGTATAACTATAATGCTAGCTGTAAGTTTTTAGGTGTTGTCAAGCTTAGGAAGTTCCCCTCTATTCCTGTTTTTCTGAGAGTTGTTCTTCATAAATTTAATTTTGTCAAATGCTTTTTTGCATCAGCTGATATGGGCCTATGATTTTTTTTTCTTCTTCATTCTTAAACTGGCTGGATTACACTGACTAACTTTAGATATTGAACCAGCTTTACATCCCTAGAATAAACCCACTTGGTCATAGTGTACAATTCCTTTTATTTCTGAAGGCTATTTGATAGTATTTTATTAATAATCCTTACATGCATATTCACAAGGTATATCAGTCTTCAGTTTTCCTATTTTGTAAAGCCTTTCTCTGGTCTCAGTATTAAAGTCATACCAGATTCATAAAGTGAATTGGGAAATGTTCTCCTCCTCTTCTATTTTCTGGAAGAGATTGTATGAAATTTTTGTAAATTTTTCTTTAAATGCTTGGTAGAATTCGCCAGTGAAACCATCTGGGACTGGAGATCGTTTAGAAGAGGGTTTTTTATTGCAAATTCAATTTCCGTAAAAGTTGTGGAGGTATTTAAATTATTTGTTTCATACTAAGGATGTTTTTGGACTCCACAGACCACAAAAGGTAAGTCCTATGAGAGCCATGGGGAAGTTTCTAGAAGCAACTCCATTTGTTCTGTAGACTCACAAAAAGCTCCAGAAGTAATACAAAAGACACATCTGAAGTGGGATAAACTTGGGGTCAAAAACAGCAGAACTCGTTGGAAGTCTGTGTGTGGAGCAGCTAGGTCCCAGAAACCCTCTCTTGCTTCAACCAAAGACAGTGCTATCATCTGAAGTGGGTAAAACAGAAGTCTCTGGACTGAGAACTAACTACAACGAAGGGCCAGAGTAATACACTGAGAACAGGGGTTAAACACAAATTCAGATATTTAATGCCAAGATTCCAGCTTTCTGCCCTCTTGGTTCCTACATGTTGGAATCAGAAGAGCCTCCCTGAGAAATCAGGGTAGTCCCAAACCAAAACCCAGAGACATCATCAGACAACGAGATGGACCAGCAAATCTCTTTCCAATTAAGCTCACAGTGCTTTTTCTTAAAGATGAACAAACAAGGGTCACCAGAAGTCACAGAAAAGTCTCTAATGTGAAATAAAGAAATGTTTAAAAAAATAAATAAACAAACAAACAAGCCAGAAAACAGCAATTTGGAAGGAACAGAGTGGAGTTGTCTCAGGAACTTACCAGATGAAGAAACCCCTACGGCTCCCTGGCTCCCCACCTGGAATTTATGTCCTCAGAGATAAAAAAGAATCAGGCAGGGGCAGAATCCTATTTTTAAAAATTCAAGGAAAAGAAATTATCTCAGAAAAAAATAAAGAATACTTAGTAGGAAATATTTAGTAAAATAGTTTGAAAATAAGTGTAGGTTGATCTCCCAGAAAGCATGGCAAATGGACAAAGAGAAAATTTGAAGAGCTAATGTTCAAATTATTGGAGTTTCAACAACAACAAAAATAGAGGAAAGAAAAGAATAAATCATCCAAGAAATAATTCAAAACTGAAGGGAGTGAGTTTTCATAGTAAAGGGTCCATTAAGTGCCCAATACCGTGGATAAAAATGGACCCACACCAAGACACGATAGTATGACATTTCAGAACACTGGGGGCAGACAAACACTTTCATATGTATCTAGAAAAGAAGAAGAAAAGAAGAGAGATTCTGAATGCTGTCAGATTTTTCAATAAACACCGCTTGGTGTTAGAAGGAGGCACAGCAACGTCCTTGAATTTCTCAGGGAAAATTATTCCTGCATAATCACACACTTGGAAAAATCATCATCCAAATTTAAGGGGAAAGACATTGTCACATACCAGGAAGTTCCTGGAGAATGTACTCCATAAAAACATGAAGGAACTAAGAGAAAGGAAGAGAGGGGATCAGGAAACAGGAGCTGGAACACCGGAAAGAGGCAAATGACACTAGCAGGAGGTCAGAAAATGAGATTCCAGCCTGCTCCTTGAGTTCCTTGCTAGAGATCAGCTAGTGCAGCTCAAGACCATTTAGAATTCTTCAGGAGACGGTAACAGAAAAGATAGATGTGAATAAAATATGTGAAGTGAAAACTAAAATGATGATTTTTTTTTCTGAGTAAGGCTCTTTACATTTGCCTACAAATCAACCTTCTTCTTCGACATACCTGCTCTACTTTCCCACACGCTGTTCTCTAAGCATAAAAACCTTTCCTTTCCTGCTCCAAGGTCTTTGCATGTGCTGATCCCAACATCTGATTTGGGGGGGGGGGCAGGGTCCTAGAACTCAACTCTTCACATGAGTGACCTTCTCTCAACAGTAAATCATTTCTCAGTGATTGGAATCATAAGAGCCTCCCTGAGAAATCAGGGTAGCCCTGTACAGAGGGCTTCCCTTACCACCTAATCCCCCCACTTGACACAATTTCTAACTCTATGTAATTTGAAGCTTCCTTTTGTTTATCATCTTTCTTGCTAGACTGTATGAACCATGCAGATAGGATATGCATTAATCAAATTCACAAGTGTTAAAGTCCTTACCCACATCAAAGAGTAGAAAGAGGACTTGGAACTGGAGACCTAGAGGAAGGACTTGTGGAGATTTCATTGAAAAAGTTATGCTGTGAGCCTATCCCTCACCCTGCCCCATCCAGAGCAGAAGGGATGACTCTGCTAACTCCAAACCAAGAGGAAAAAACTTCAGGGACACTGCTCAAATATGTTTCCCTGCAGACTGCTGGTATATAATTCACACCTGAGAAACTTGATAGCTGAGAAACCAGCTGCAGCAGCCCTTGTAAGCAGAGTAGGCGCGTCTGTGCTGGCTCCCTGAACTTCAACAGTGTGTTTAGCAATGTGTGCATGTGGGTTTCCTGTGGTCCAGAGATGGGTAGGCCACATGCAAGAAAGAGTCAGCGCGTGGAGTTGTCTCACCAGGGCAGCCACCGAAGGTGGATACAGGTAAATAATCAGAATATGCCTACCTGGCCAGGAGCTCAGGAAAGAGTAGTATTGCCAAGACAAAGTGTTTAGAACAGCATAAGTCAAGGGAACTGGAGGCAAGAGATCCCAAGAGATTTGGGAGGGCAGGGGCAGCATCTTAGAAAAATCCATCCAAGTGCTCACAGTAGCCAGCTTTAAACACCTGCCAAACCAGAGCACACCCACGCTTGCTCACAGTGGTAAAGTCCAGCCCCTTCCCTCTCCTCCTGACCAAATCTTCCTTTCTGAATAGGTGCAGAAAAGACAAAAAGGTGTGCAATTGCCCTTCCTGATCCACAGCTTTTGCATCAGTAGCACAGCCCACCTGGGAGAGAGAAGGCATGAACTCACACAAATTCTAAGACATTCCACTTGGCAAAAGGATGTCTCAAGCTCAATCAACATCATTTCAAAAATTAATCAAATAATAAATAAACATGTAAGTATTTTGGTTGAACGATAAGAGGATGAATGTGATCATTCATAGCCCTTAATGTATTCCCCTAAATTATTCTTTTTAAAACAAAGACAATTATATAATATTTAAAAAAAAAAAAACTCAACAAAGACAAATGCAAACAAACCCCACTCCTTTCCACTATAACCCTATTGTTTAATTGCAAATTATTCATATTCCCCAGACTTGGGAGGTTAAAAGGCACCAAAGTCCTACCTTCCCTACTTTAATTTCTAGCTGAACACCCTCCCTCCAGCGACTTCCCAGCAGTCTCCTGCTCCCCTGGTCCACAGGTGTGTGGCCCTCCCTTGGCAGGCCTCAACAGGATAAGTACATCCCACTATTGCACCATTTCCCCATTGTACTTCCATACAGCATTGCTCACCTAGAACAGCAGGGCCTTTACTTCCTCACCACTGTGAAAACATGAGGAAGCAGGCAAACTCCCTTGTCTTCCCAAGACATAAATTTTCATTATGTATAAATTTGAGGCATCTTTGCTATTTGTCTCCCTGGACTGTAAGAACCATGTGGGCAGGATCTGCATTAGTTGAATTCATGAATTGTTAAACTCCTTACACGTAACAGGGGTAGAAAGAGGGTCTGGAGCCTTAGACCTAGAGGAAGGACTAAATTTCACTGAGAAAGTCCGCCGGTTTCAGTTCAATAACCATTTATTGAAGGGTTAAGGAGACTAGAGGACATACTTGGTGGTAAAACAGCAGTCTTATCGAAATCTAAACTAGGGCCTAAATGTCTGCTCTGTACCTCGAGGCTAATCAGTGATAAACAATTTACTCTTTCACCTGACAACATCTTAAATCTGAAGAATGGCTGCCGGAACCTTGGAGTCTTCTTTTGTCCAGGACCAGCACATCAGGCTTCATCAACCTGAGGCTTTGTCTTTCGTAAGAGCTGAGGGAAATTAGCTGGGATTTAAATTGTCCTCTGAGGAAATATCTCAAATTGTCTCAAAAAGCGAGGGGTACAGGCTTATGGGTTTTATTAATGAAGTGATCTTACATTTTACACATGTTATTTAACACATCTAAGATGTGGAAACAGAAATTTGCATTACCTTCTTAATCAATGGTTTGCTCAGGGCAAATGAATCAGAAATGAATTAAAATTGCAGCCACTCAAGGGTGGAACCCAAAAAACATACCATCTTACCTCAAATCTCAGTGATGTAATGTGGCAAGCCTTCTCTTCCTCAAAGCCCATGTGCCTGGTGCCTCGGACTCCTGGGAGGACTGTCTGGTTTGGGTATGTGACCATACACTTGAAAACTAGTCCATTTTTAAACAAGGTTGACTAATATTTTGACCTAGCAGATGTTTTCAACCACTGTCTCAGTACGTACCAAATCCAAGTCAAGGGTTGCCCCTCCCCAGCGCTCCAGAGGCACCAACACGCCCCCCACACAGGGCAGGTCAAGCCACCACTGACCTTCCTGTCAAACACCTCCGCAGAGAATAGGAGGCTCCGCCCCCACAGGTGCGGGAGCAGTCACTCCAGTCGCCCCAGGCATCCCAGTTGCCATCTTTGTCTTCATCAGAGCGAGCGTTTCTTGAGGTCTAGGTGTGAAACACACATAAGGAGTTACAGACACATGTGGTAAAAATATCCCATAGTTCCCCCAGTTTTTCTAGATTCTTCTTCTACATTGCTCTCAGAGACCAAAGTTGCCTAAAAATGTTTTGCTTTAGAATGGCTGCATTTTTAAAAAAATCACACAAGAAAGGTTTGTGCAGAAACTAGCTGGTACACGCATGTCTTTCAACCTTAAGAAGGCTTTGTTCAGATGGTTTCTAAGCTCAGTTTGAAGTATGAAATTTTACCATTTCTAAATTTAAATAATTTGCCTAAATATCAGTCTATTGTTTTTCTAAAAGATTTTTTTTTTTTACATAGCAGGGTCCCACCTTGAACCTAAGAAGTGCTCCCCACTGAAATTCCGATTCACCTGCCTGTCAGACAAACTAATGGTAACCCCCAAGGAATACTTCTGCATGAAGATTTCTGGAACTTTCTTAGAGAGAGGTTCCACCTCAAGAAAACAAAGTCAGATAGATGAGCATAGCTAAGTTATAAAGCTTAGGAGTCCAAGAAAATAGGGAAGGGTCAATTTTGTGTATATTTGGTTTGTCTCTGGGACTTACCACCATGTCAGGATACTCTAGGAAAGCAAGAAGAAGAGGAGTTAGTTACAAGGGGAAAATATATAGATAAGAAATGAAGCCTATTACTTAAATAAAGCTATAAAACTTTACTAGGAAAACTAAATCAGATGTGAATAAATGAAGAGACAACCACAGTCCTGAATGGGTAGACTCAATACTGTAAAGTGCTAATTCTCTCCAAATTAATCTATAAATTTGTAGCAACTCCAATCAAAATCCTAAGAGGGAAAGTTTTGGAAAAGCTTATCTATGGGAGTATATATATATATAAAACCAAAGGGGGGGGGAAGAAAGATGGAATCACCAAATAACCAAGCAATCAATTCCATTTCCAGATGTCTACCTAAAAGAATTAAAATCAGGACTCCTAAAAGATACATGCAAAGCCATGTATATTGTATCATTGTTCACAATATCAAAGAGGTGGAAGCAACCCAGGTATCCATCAGTAGATGAATGGATAAACAAAGGGTGCTATATTCATATGTACAATGGAATATTATGGTGCCATAAAAGGGAAATCTTGTCACATGCTACAACATGGATGAACCTTGAGGACATTACACTAAGTGAAACAAACAAGTCACAGAAGGCCAAATGCTGCATAATTTTACCTCCCTGTGTTTTCTAAAGTAGTCCACCTCACTGCAGCAGAAGGTAGAATGGCAGCTTCAAGGGACTCAGGAGGGAGAAAGGAGGAGTTAGGTTTGCATGGTTATGAAGTTTTAGTCACACAAAATTAAACAGTTGTGGAGATCTGCTGCACAACACTGTGCTTGTAGTTAACAATACACTTCAAAATTTCTTAAGAAATTAGGTCTCATGCTATGAGTTTTTTTTAACTGCAATTAAAAAGATTAAAATAAGGACATGAGAAGAAACAGCCTCAATTAAAAGAGAATAGAATTGATGTAGCAATAAGCAATCTAAGCTATTAAAATTTAGTAAGAGTCCAAAAACAGACCCAAGAATAAGGCTATAGTATAAGAACACAAAACCAAAGTGATAAATGGATTCTTAAAAACCATAGATAGCTTCTTCATAAAATATACCAAAATTAATCCCAGACATAGTATAAATTTATATTATAAATAGTAAAACCATAAAATTATAGATTAAGAGTCTTGTTGTTTTCTCTCTATTTTCTTGGAGCGGGAGAGCATCCAATATAGAATTAGCGTAAGAAAGACGGTCCTAGATATGTTAACAAAGGAAGAAACTATAAAGGGAAAGACTGATAGGTTTAATTACATTAAAATTTAAACACAAAGTATTTTCTATCTCTTCAACTTCAGAAGACAGTAGTGGTCTATGAATATACACTCAAAAATGAAGTAGAAAATGTAACTATGTGGGCTACAAGGCCTCACATCAGATGGCCTCTAAGAATACTGGAGGTGGGATGAGGAGCCAATTTGCTGAGAAGAATCACAACTGAATGTCTCCTTTTCTCCTATTATAAAAAACCAGGCCTATAATCCCAGTAACTCAGGAGGCTGGGGAGGCAGAAGGATCACAAATTTGAGGCCAGCCTCAGCAATTTAGCAAGGACCAAAGCAACTTATGAAAAAATATGACAAAATGGTAAATTTGATAAAACCAGGTGGTGCTATTTTGGATGCCAGCTAATTAATTTCTAATTGTTGTTTGAAATTTCTTTTTAAAACTATGTGTAATCCCAGCAATTGGGGAGGCTGAAGCAGGAGGATCCCTAGTTGGAGGACAGTCTCAATAATTTAGCAAGACCTTGTCTCAAAGTGAAAAATAGAAAGGACTGGGGATATGGCTCAGTGTTTAAGTATCCCTCAGTTCAACCTCCAGTATCAAATAAATAATAAAAATATGTGTTTAGGGCAAAACGAAATCACTAAATAAAAATAAATATATGTTGTATCTTTCTTTTGGAGGGGGTGATACAAAAATAATTAAATGAGAGATCTGTAAAAAGGACCTTCAAAAATGAATTGAAGAAATCATGACTTGATACTTTACCTCTGAGCTACATCCCCAGTTTTGTTTATTTTTCAATTTGAAACAGGATCTCATTAAGTTACTGAGGGTGTTGCTAAATTGCTGAGTCTGGCCTCAAATTTTTGCATCCTCCTGCCTCAGCCTCTGAGTCACTAGGATTGTAGGAATGTACCACCATGCCTGGCCTATATCATTTTTAATTCAGGTGAACTTGTACATGCATAGAGAAAGGAGTGAAAATCAAATGTTATGGGATCACCTCTAGGAGAGTGGGCTTTGAGCGATTTTTAACTTCTTTTATTTTGTTTTTGTTTCTGTTATTTTATGCAATCTTTTTAAAACAAAACACATAATACCTTAATTAAAACTAGTTAGCAAAGAAACAAAAAACACATCCTACTGGTACACGGAAAAGTTCAAGTCAACCAGAGTTTAACAGGTAGGTTCTAAGCTGGAGAAAGGCAACGTTTATAAAGGAAACTGTGAGGCAAGTCATAAACTGCAGCATGTGACCGAACTAGATATTGCCCAGGTTTCCTTAAGCCCTTAGGCAAGTTACCTCATCCAACCAAAAAATAAAAATTAAATTAGAGGGATCTGTAGAAAGAACCTTCAAAACTAAAATGAAGAAATAATGACTGGGAGCAAAGAGGGCGTTTTCCAATAATTTTCACTCTGGTCTCACTGGTCCCCAGGTTTCATGGCTTCTTGCCAAGCTACCTATTCAGAGCACAGTGGGCAGTCCTACACGAGGCAATATTTCAGGAACAGTCAAGGGAAAGGAAAGGATAAATATCTGGCGACTGATCAAATCTGTCATCGGGACCAGGGGCTAATTAAACCCATACTATTTACTGTTCTAATTAGACCACTGTTCAGTTCAGTTTTCTACCCTTAAATGTCACCAAACATAACCGTGCTCTGCCTATAACATAATATAGAACATAAAGTTTTAATTCATAAAAAATACAATAAGCAGTTTAATACATTCATCTGGACATTTAGGTTAGGTAAGTCCAAATCATTTAGGTAAATGTCTAAAATATACACAGCTGAAACTGATTTTTCATTTTGCCACTCGATAGATGGATAGGTGGAATGTGAAAAGTTGAAAAACATCATCAAATATATTTTTAAGGGAAAGCTGACAGTTGGTTGCAGTATCGTTTTGTTTTTATTCCCACTATCCCATCTGTTCAGTTTATACTTAGAATCACGTTTCTCTCCATGACTTCTCCACCTTTATTTACAAAAAAAATTCTTGATTCTAAAATAATTAAAATAGGTATTCTATAAAATACAAGCATTTGGTTTCTCTGATTGGATCAACTGGATGCTCTCCCACTCCAAGAAAATGGAGAGAAAACAGCATCTCAAGAGGTGCCTTCAAAGTTTTCTCATCTCCTTGGCCATGAAGATGGTTGGATTTTGCTTGGAAACCCCCATGCCACTCCCTACCAGATAGCCCTGCAGGTCTTTTCGTGTATTTTTCTTTATCCACAGAGTGGCAATTATGTCGCTGATTTCTACCTAGTTCTCTCTTCCCTTTGATCCTAGCAGCAAAATGATAACAAGCATTCAAAAAAAAAAAAAAGTCTATTGAAGCAGAATGAAGCACCACCAGAGTTGCTTCCTAAAACAACTGTGTGTGTGTGTGTGTGTGTGTGTGTGTGTGTGTTCCTTACAATAAGAAGAACTTGCTGCCCTGGAACTTCCATTCCTCTAGAGTGATGGGCAAGTGGGTTGGGAGCCTCCTCTGCAGCAGAATCCTTCTTAGAGCCTCCCAGATCTACTGCCTTCCACTTGCCTTGCTCTTTCAGGACTGTATTCAATCTCTGCACACATTTATATTTGCAAATTTTTTATCCAAAAATGTAATGTCCAGGCCAGGCACAGTGGCCCACATCTGTAATCCCAGAGACGGGAGAGGCTGAAATAGGAGGATCACAAGTTTGAGGCCAGCCTCAGCAACTTATTGAGGCCATAAGTAACTTAGTGAGACCCTGTCTCAAAACAAAAAAATATAAAGGGCTGGGATGTGGCTCAGTGGTTAAGCACAACTGGGTTCAATCCCTGGTATGTATGTATGTATGTATAAGTAAATAAATAAGTAAGTAAGTAAATAGAAATAAAAATGCAATGTCCAGAATACAACAGTGTATCTAAGAGAAACAGAGACCACACATTGTCTCTCTGGTCCATGTTTCTTTTCATGAATCCTAAGCCTTAGCTCCTCTTTCCTTCTCCCCTTCCTCCCTCCCTTCTCGCCTTCTTTCGTTCTTTCTTCCTTCCTTTCTTTTTCAGCCACATTTTTTATTGGAATTCACTATGGAGGCAATATCACATAATGGTTAAAAGCTGTTTGAATCTGGATACATTTCTTAGGCTTTCTAAAACTCGTCTATTAAATGAGATGATCACCA